CTGTGGTCTAGATTTGCGCTTTTCCTATTGACATAAACCCTAAGAATTCTTCCACTTTTGCTATTCTAAGCTTGTGTTATTTGATAATGAACCTCTTCAGCTCCATTGATCTTTTCTGGAATAAAAATACGTCTAAAAGTGGATCTGCAAGTTTAGCCAGTTCTATTTGCTAAAGGCATTTCGTTTTGCAAACTTCTGTTACCAAACCTCACAACCCCAAAATCCAAGCCCAAACACAGATTTGAATCACCAATAAAATGAAACACGCTGAGGGTGACGTTTCTCAGTATCGGATAGACCTGAGGACTATATCCTATATGTTAATTTCAAAGATTTTGTTGAAGCATGTGTAAATCATCCTTTAGGGAATTTCACAAAATAGGTCAAATTTTCATTTTTAATCTTATATTCTGTGTATATCACGGGATGCTTATATGAACCATATACATACCCTCCTTTGATTGGACCTGATGGAATCGAAACTGACTCCATCTAGACGCTGATCACATGACTGATTTGATACTCACGTGATTTTAGTGTGATTTTCACGTGAAGTGCGGCGTCGTCCCAATTCCTTCTGTTCGACCCCAGGCTAAGAAGATTTCTATTACTTATGGTAATAACTGTGAAATCAAGGCTAGGTTGGTGTTAGCTTCCTAATTTACACTTGGGATAAGATATATAATTATAACTGAATGATTTTCGTATATTCGAATTGAATTTTGCATCAGTTTGAATATTTGGACAGTTTTTTGCAACAAATTGGTTATTTATTTCGACAGAACTTTCCACACTCCGATATTAAACTGCAAACAACGATCTTTATTTAACCTATCTCTGTTAACTTCTATTTCTGATATAAAAGAATCATATATGAGATGTTTAGAATAGATGGAGCTTAAGATATGAGAGCATGAGAATTTTTTTTATAATTTGCAGTCATTTAAGCAGTCAGTGTTAGGTGGCCGTTGGTCTACTTGGTTCTCGAGGTAGTGAAAAGATGCTTCAGTTATTGAATGATTACTTTTTGAAAAGGTTACTATTTGCTCCTTTCCTTCTCAAATATTTGTGGTTTCATATTTAATCTAATGGTTGCGAAATTCTTGCCCTTTTGAAGTCTACGTTGTTTATTCGCTTATGCTTAATAAGAAGCAAATTTATTCGTGAACTTTATATTGAGAAATAGTGAAAATGAAAATTATACATTTGTATGCACATATATATATCTATCTGAAAATCAATTGATTCTGGCACCTAGAAAGGCTTGGATAGTATTCAGTGAGTCTTGTAAATAGAAATACAGTAAATAGTATATCTATATAGTCATATAATACAATGGTCATGTTAACGACAAGACTAAAATTGGATTGTTGCTTAAAGATCAGCCTCTGATTGTTTCACTTCAATAAATTCTTTAGTCTTACCCCAATAATGCTTAACTTTTTCATTTTGAACCTTTACCATTTCATAATCTAATCTTTGAATAATCGCAGCAAATAAGTTTCTAGTTTCCTTGTTATATAAGACTCTAACCCAATAAAACACTAAAAATAACAATAATTGATATCCAGCACCATTTCTGAAAAAAATAGTACGTAAGAATAAATATCCAATTAATAATAATTCATCATAAGCAATTAAAGATGCAAGGAATTCAGATTCATTTGTAATAGCGGAAATATTCTTAATATTTCCGATATGTAAAATAGCCAAGAAATAATATGGTAAGATCTTAAATGTTGATTTAAATGTAAAAACCCAAACTAAAGCAAGGACAATATATTGGAAATTTTGCTGAGAAAGTAATGTAGCTGGTTTTGGTAAATAACTTAAACCGAACTTATGACTAAAAGTAGCTGTAAGTGCAACAATTGCTCCTACAAATGTCAACCTATATGAAATTGAATTGATATAATATTTATTGGGGATCCATAAAAGTTGAAATAATAAGGAAATTGATCCAAATACAATAGTAGCAATGTGACCACCAAGCCAGATTTTGAATTTTAATGGATCGGTTTCTCTGCTTGTTCTTATTAATTTACGCTTCTTTTGTTGTGTTGCTGGTTCTTCATGATGTTGATTAATGATTGGATGTTCTTCTTTGTCTGTAGATTTATCGGTTGATACCACAGTAGGTTTTACATTTGTAGTTGTGGAAGTATCTGGTGCATTGACGCTCGTAGATGACATGATTCCTGAATTTGAATGCTTTACCAATGGAATAGAAATATCAATTGTGTATGTTAAATTGAAAGAGTTTTATCCTTTCAAAGACTGTTGGTATTCTACCTTGCTGGGTTGTGCGGGTAACGTCACATAAACATCTAGATGTATAATTTCACGTCATTGGTTAACACTTGGATATTTATTTTTCTGTTGTAAGTGTCCGGTTGGCCGACGTCCACATAAATTGATCGCATGAAAGTAATTTCTCCCAAACGATACTGTTAGTGAATGAACTATCTCAATGAACTGAACAAACTACAATAATTCAAAGAGTGGTCAAGGCTAACTGTTATCTATTACAAAAATTACTGATCAGCAGTATATCGATACTAGATTGATATATTGACATTTCCGGGTTTATTATCTATATATAGAACTCTAATACATAATTATTGTTCTTGAATATCCACCGTTTCACTACGCGAGCACACTTCTAGTTCAACAGATTAGAAGTCAAAATAAAAGTTGTTAGGATTTCGAGAGTCAATATTATGGATTAAGGTTCAATCAATTAGTAAGTCAAGCCTAATCAAGAATTAAGTCTTTTTTATAGTCATGTCTGAACCATGATTTAACACCAGATGAAAAATTTTTCTCCCATCAATGATACCACTTAGTGAAAAGATTTTTTGCCACCAAAAAAGGTAAGATGTGGTAGCTAGAACATTAAGTTTAAGATATTCGAAGTCAAGCTAATCCATGCCAATGGAAGCGAACGAATGTATCAAGTTAATTGAATTCTGAAGGATCAAGTGTGAAAAATTATAAGAAAACATCGATTCAACCAAGGAATTTGATATCCAAAATAGGAAGAATCTCAATGTTTACTATGCTGAAAGTAAATTACCTATTACAGAGTTAATGATCGTGGAAACTAATCTATGAGAGTTTATGAATGAAGTTACCAACTGAATTTTGAAAATTTTTGTGTGTTAACTGAGAAGTGACGGAAGAATCTGAGTAACAGTGATGAATTAGATTTTTGCTTGCTATGTTCCAACTGATTGATTTATGATTCTAGTGAAATTGTAATTGTTGAATAGAAGATTTTTAATCGAATGTCCAATTTATGAATGTCGAATTTGAAACGTTAGTTTACTACCTGAAGTAGGGGAGTTTTGGTATTCTCCAAAAATAGTTATTTATTGCATGAATAATTAAACATACTTGAATAGAGAAGTTTTATCAGTTTTAAAAGAGAAATCGGATCAGATTAGTCGTTGTATTTTGTGCAATGAAGATGAATTAGAGAAATTTGATGGACTTTCTAAAATAAAGTGAAACTAGAATGAAATGCAAAGCAATTCTGAAGATGCTGAATTAAGATAGGAAAATATTGAACATACAGGTATCATGGAAGATATCAGAATAATGTACACTTGAGATTGAGATGCTAAACGATAGAAATGTTGTCCACAGATGTGTTTATATACTTAAGGCACTGGATTAGTTGTGTCAAACGTTGAGGGAAAGTTGTATACAAAGATATTCACGGATGAAAGAAGTTCAGAATAAAGTGAAGAAGAATTAATAAAAATGGAAAATTTGCTTGTGGAACGTACTCACTCTGCCAAGACATATGGTAAAATTAGTAGTTAATTATTTGAAATTGCCGTGATCAAAGTTTACTATACATAATGATACAATATGATTCACTAAATAATTAGGTTGAGAAAGCCAATGTCATAATGATGAGAGCCATGAGATAGTGTTACATTTGATATTTTTCGCTGCTAATAAAACTGGATGAATCGGAAATATCTAGGACTATTTTGTATGCTAAAGGTTTGTATGAGAAACGTTTGAAGAGATAATTTTCGGATAGAAATCAGAATCAAGTAAAGCAAGAAAACATTTTTGATATAGTTTGCATTTTATTGAAACACAAGTTAATATGATACGTCAAATGAATACAAAAAAAAAAGTCGCAAAAGAGATCATTGTGATAAGTGTCGTCCAATCGGGATTGATTTCGCTATGAATTACGATTTGCTTATGAAAAATGTTTGCTGGAGGCTTTGTTGAACCAATTATAACGTGAATTGAAGTTGTCTCAAGATACTAATTTGTCAATATTGGAATTATTCATCGTCATGAATTCGATATGCTATTAGATCAGTCCTGAATTGAAAATCCGCTATGATGTTGTCAAATATTAGAATGAGATCAAATTTTATTGTTTTGATAGATACATGTTAGAACAATAGTTGAGGCAATCAAGAAACATGCATTGGATTTTTTTTTTTAAGAAGCGAGTGAAGTCGTGCGATTGTTTTTAATATATTTGCATTTATGATCAAACAGCTGTGAATGCTAATCAAAGAAGATTTTTTAGGTGATTTGTCGCCATATCATATGTCCTCAGTAATGGAAGTTGCAATTTTAAGACCATACTCTTGGTGTGGATGCCAAAGTAAAATGATTGGAAGTCATTTCAATAAGATTAGAATATGTTTGATAGTTCCTTCGGATACGGAACATATTATAATAGTCATATGGTATCAACAAAGCATTATGGAGAGATAGTCATATTCAATATCATATTGTTAAAGAGCATTGTTGTCATTGAGAGCATTTAGATTCTTATGTCGAGAAGCATGATATGTTTGAGAGTACAAGTTAAGCAGCTCAATAAATTGATTAGGGCACTTGAAGAGCCAGAATATTTGGTGCTGAAGTTAATTATGAGTTTTTGATCATGCATAACAAAATTTTGAATTAAGAGTTTAGAATTGAAATTGAGATCAAGATAGCAACAATGGTGTTGTTAGGGGAGAAGCTTCCGAAAGCAACAGCCCAAATGAAAGTACTGTCGCCAAGAAGGTAATTTATATAAGATTGATATAACTAGAATTGATCATGAAGATTTTGAGATAATAACTGAAGTTGTCAACATTAGTGTTGCTCAGGGGGGAAGTTCATGAGAGGAACAACCCAAAGTTGATAACTTAGATACTGCTATAGAAAGTCAACATAATTGAAAAGTTGAAGATGATATGTTAACAACTAACAGAGAGCATCAAAGTAAGTTAGAACCTGATAGAGAAAAAGTCAGATTCAGTAAAGAGTTGAAGATGAAAATTTGTAAACTGATAAGAACGTCAGTGTCATCTGAGAGAATTGGATGACGTAATCGGTCGTGATCTGGAACACCGTGTTGACGGTAGATCATTTGGGATGATCAAGGATACTGTAGAAAACCACATGGAGGTGGAATGCAGTAAGAATGGCAGACACGATCAGACTGGTAATGACGAGATTACTGGTTATTTGGCCTAGAAAGTCAAATACGTCAATAACACCGTGATCAAAGAGGGTCAATGTGTGTGACGATATTAATAACACCGTGATCAAAGAGGGTCAGCGAGTGTATATTACTAGGAGTGATGAAGCTTCTAGAACTTTGATCAATGACGGTCAAAGAATGAAAAACACCGTGATCAAAGAGGGTCATGTGTGATTACTAGTGATAATGAGATTACTAGAACTTTGGTTAGTGAGAATCAAAGATTGGAGACTATGGTTTAGACCAGAAAGTCCAGGAAGAGGAAGAAGGGTGTTGGGCATCCTGAATTCTCGAAACTACTTCGCAGCAGAAACCAGGAAACTGACACAATACTAAAGAAAAGTAAGATATGTCTGAAGGGCAGAGAATGCATATGTCAAAGAGACTCAACAACGATTAGAATATCGAGTAATAGAAGACTATTAAAAATCAAGAGATTAAAATTTATTGAAATCATTTTTAAGTGAAGAAGATAGTGATTGAAAACGAGAGTGAGAACTATATTTATTGTATAAAGTAGCTTGTATGAATATTTTTAGGTTTGAAACAGAATTAAGTTGTTGATTTTATCACTACATGTTTTTTTGGTTTACCACGATTAGATGTTTGAAGGCTATTACCATTGAATTTAATGTTACAATAGATGAATTAGACATCGAGTATGATTATTTGAATGCTGAATTAATTAATATAATTTATGTCGATACACAACCATGTTTTGAAGTTGCAAAGATAGTTTATGATCCAAAACATTGTGTCATTGTTTGAAAATTTGATGAGTTCATAGGAATATTTGTTAAGCTATATTTGCAGAATTGGTGATAAGTTATTTCTAATGAGAAAATGGTCCTAAGCTTATGATTATTATTATTTATTTGGAGATGCTTTTTATAATTTGTGCAAAAAGATTAATTCATTGAAGATGCAGAAGCAAAACTGAAAGGTGAAGTTGATTTTAAGGATTTAGGGGAGAGTTCCTGAATTCTGCTCCAGAAAATATACGAAAACCAAGAATGCCTATTAAATAGCTAGAAAGGAATTCATACTAAAAAGAGTGTCACAAGAGTTTATTCCGATCAGGATAAGAAATCCATAAAATCAATCATTTTGTTCAAAGATGACTATAGAATACTGAAGATAAGAAAGAAGGATTTTCCCATCAAGAATGTGAATAAGGATCAGCAAGAAATTATACAATAAAGATAAATTTGTTATCAGAGTGTTATTATGGTATTGTTTGAACCAGTTATTAGTTATGTCACTGATTTCGTGCACCAGCTTGAGAAGATTATTAGATTGCCTAAAATATGGCAGGTATACACTAAATATCGAAAATGAATGAAGATCCAAAAATTGCTAGATTTAGATTGAAATATTACAGATGCTATCTATGATCAAGAAATTGATATATATTTGTATTTGAAACAAAACGATTTAATTGAACAATTGTGTGATTAGCTAAAACATGAATTACTATTTATTGCCATTATTGAGTGTTACTGAATGTATTACTATGAGAATAGGAAACTCATTGAAGGATTATTATGCTAGTGAAGAAGCACCATTGATTGAATCATTGAAATTGAAACTTCATTTTTAGAAGAAAAATTTTACAGTTAATGAAACTATTGCTGATTATAATTAACTATGGTCAAATATTATCAAGATATTAGTTGAAAGAGACACTTTTGAAACTGCTTGATATGGATTGAAAGATATTCAAGATAATGTGATTTCGCTATATTGAATTAGTACTATGACTAGTATTTTTGCTTTGTTCCCTACTTGGATCAATTAGGTTTTATTTTGATTTACAATTGATTAACTTTGTGTTGAATGTGTCAGCGGATTGGGCTGAAGCTGTCGAAGGAATTATGGGTTACTGAGGGCTTATTTGGGTTTCTGAGGGATCATTGGTACCGCGGTTTTTTAAGGTTAGAATACAATCTGTCAATGCCTCTCGGTCAGTGACGAGATTAGGGGAGTGTTGGTATTCTACCTTGCTGGGTTGTGCGGGTAACGTCACATAAACATCTAGATGTATAATTTCACGTCATTGGTTAACACTTGGATATTTATTTTTCTGTTGTAAGTGTCCGGTTGGCCGACGTCCACATAAATTGATCGCATGAAAGTAATTTCTCCCAAACGATACTGTTAGTGAATGAACTATCTCAATGAACTGAACAAACTACAATAATTCAAAGAGTGGTCAAGGCTAACTGTTATCTATTACAAAAATTACTGATCAGCAGTATATCGATACTAGATTGATATATTGACATTTCCGGGTTTATTATCTATATATAGAACTCTAATACATAATTATTGTTCTTGAATATCCACCGTTTCACTACGCGAGCACACTTCTAGTTCAACAAAGACAAGCAACTGAAATTTTATGTTATATGCAGGATGGCTGTCAAAATACATTCAAGCCATCAAAATAAATCAAAACACAATGACAACCACTTTTGTTGATTCATTTCTTAATCACTCTACTTTACATAGTTAAACAAAATATGGATTTAATGACGATTGATTACAACAGTTATCCCAACTTAACTGAATTAGAAGCTAAAGTATTAACAGAATATCAAAAAATCAATAATTTAATACTTCAATTAAATGATGAAGTATTAAAATTAACTCATGAATCATTTGATAAAGAAGATAAATGTAATTCACATCAGTTGAAAGATAACTTAAGAAATTTAGAAGAGAAGTTTGTGTTGGTTGATCGTCTTTTTAAAACTTCTGTTTATTCTTTATATTTGGATAGAAATGAAGTAGATGATAAGAATCAAGAAGATGAACAAGATTATGAAAATGAATTGCAACTGGATAACTACTAGTTAGAAGGAAGAGACAAGTGACAGTTACTTTATTTGAGACTATAAAGCCTAGGTTTTCAATTTCATTATATTGAACATGATCCATTTTAATAATGTGAATCCAAATGCTTCCCTGTAAGAGTAAACAACAGGACTCAGCATATTCAAACTATAGTACATTCATATGAGTTTTTTTGAATGACAAGAAATGATGCCCCGGAGCATTCCAAAAGAAAGTGCTCCTAGTACACACCAGTTATGTTGACATCCATTAACAATGACTTTATTGTCGGAAAGACTATTCCTAGATGTTATAATGAAGTGCTGGCAGATGCATTCTACAACTTACTTTATAGATATATAGACAGTATTAAACTCCCAATGAAGCTTGACGAACATGAGAAATCTTGCATAGTTTACCTAAAAAACTCCCCCATTTTCATAAGTTTTCCCCCCATAATTAGAAATAAAGTTTTTTGTTTTTATTAAACAGTGCATATACAGTATTATTTTTCCAGAGTCAATTTAATTAAAAAGGGAGAAGAAGAAAAAAATTAAAATGGTCTCATCATATCATCTCCGTAATAAAATTATCATTGTTGAAAAATTTGAAAAATTTCAGTTCCTTCTTCTTCTTCTTCTTTCAATTGAATAAAGCACTCAATTGCTAAACTATTTACATTACATTCATACAACATGTCAGACAACGACAAATACTCAACTCCATTATCTTCAAGATATGCATCTGAAGAAATGTCAAAAATCTTCTCCCTTAGAAATAGATTTTCAACTTGGAGAAGATTATGGTTAACTTTAGCAATTGCTGAAAAAGAAATGGGTCTTTCTGTCATCACCGATGAAGCAATTGAACAAATGAAACAAAATTTAGAAATCTCCGATAAAGAAATTGAAGATGCCGCCAAGGAAGAAGCAATTGTTAGACATGATGTTATGGCTCATGTTCATGTTTTTGGTAATACTTGTCCAGCTGCTTCTGGTATTATCCATTTAGGTGCTACTTCTTGTTTCGTTACTGATAATGCCGATTTAATCTTCTTGAGAGATGCTTATGATGTTGTTATTCCAAAATTAGTTAATGTTATTGATAGATTAAGTAAATTTGCTTTAGAACATAAAGATTTACCTGTTTTAGGTTGGACTCATTTCCAACCAGCTCAATTAACTACTGTTGGTAAAAGAGCCACTTTATGGATTCAAGAATTATTATGGGATTTAAGAAATATGGTTAGAGCTAGAAATGATATTGGTTTAAGAGGTGTTAAAGGAACAACTGGTACTCAAGCTTCTTTCTTATCATTATTCCATGGTAATCATGATAAAGTTGAAGCTTTAGATAAACGTTTAGTCGAATTATTAGGTTTCGATATTGTTTATCCAGTTACTGGTCAAACTTATTCTCGTAAGATTGATATTGATGTTTTGGCTCCATTAGCTTCTTTTGGTGCTACTGCTCATAAATTTGCTACTGATATTAGATTATTAGCTAATTTGAAAGAAGTTGAAGAACCATTTGAAAAATCTCAAATTGGATCTTCTGCTATGGCTTATAAGAGAAATCCAATGAGATGTGAACGTGTTTGTTCTTTAGCTAGACATTTAGGTGGATTATTCAGCGATGCTGTCCAAACTGCTTCTGTTCAATGGTTTGAACGTACTCTTGATGATTCTGCAATTAGAAGAATCTCATTACCTTCTGCATTCTTAACTGTTGATATTTTATTGTCTACCATGTTAAATATCACTTCTGGTTTAGTTGTTTATCCAAAGGTTATTGAAAGAAGAATTAATTCCGAATTACCATTTATGGCTACTGAAAATATCATTATGGCTATGGTTGAAAAAGGTGGAAGTAGACAAGATTGTCATGAAGAAATTAGAGTCTTATCTCATCAAGCAAGTGCTGTTGTTAAACAAGAAGGTGGTGATAATGATTTAATTGAAAGAATTAAAAAGACTGAATATTTCAAACCAATTTGGAATGATTTGGATACTTTATTAGATCCAAGTACTTTTGTTGGTAGAGCTCCTCAACAAACTGAAAAATTCATTAAGGAAGATGTTGCTAATGCTTTGAAACCTTTTGAAAAACATATTACTACTGAAAGTGTCGCCTTAAAGGTTTAGAGATTGTTCTATGTTTGTACTTGGTAACTCTGTTTTTATTTCGTTTTTAGTTTGCATTTGTTTTTGAATATTCATATGGTTTTTATTTAAATGATGGAACTCTCTCTTTATTATATGCCTGAATTTTGTAGAGAAATATTCTTCTTATTCGGAAGTAAATAATTGACGTAGGAGTGTATTTCAAAATTTCTTGTTTACTAAACTAGCTTTGATTTCCTCCTTTTAGAAAGATAAAGCTGGCGACCATAATATCACCTGAAAGTTGCCTTGGGAAAGTTAGATTATTCCAGGAATTGTTATATTTCTTGGAACTAAAATTCAAATATCTAACTTTCAATAACGCCTTGATAATTTTCATAAATACAAAACTATGTAGTTAAACGTGGCGTTACCAATCTTGATACGCTTTTTAAGCTAGTTACATCGTTCGATGGCTGCAAAATTAATTTCCTAATATGGTTTGCAATGGGAAAAAATCTTGTGTTGTCAAATTAATCTTGTATTGCCAAATTTAATCATGTTAAAAACAATATCAAAATAAATGTTATTCTTAAGAACTCACACCACTCATTTTCTTGGTCAACCAGTTTGTATAAATACAAGAGTATTTCCATGCTATATGATTTGGGTAGTTCTTTTTTTTATCTATCAATAAAACCCAACAATTCCAATATGAAGAAGTTTTTCTACTCATTATTATTATTATTTTCAATTGCAGCCGTTTCTGCAGAAGATGATGAAGATCTCGCATTTTTACAATGTGATCCAACCTGTGCTGAAACTCTTGAAATCCAACAGAGGGAATGTGGTTCATCAACAGATGTTGCAGTAGTTGTTGCCTGTCTTTGTGAGTTAGGTTTAGATTTCTGGAATCCATTTGCTGAATGTACTTTTAAATGTGATGACCAAATTCCTCAAACTTATTCGAGAAATGGTGAGACTTATAAGGCATTTTATTGTTCTGCTGCTCAAGAACTTCTTCAAAATGTTGCTGCTGAAGCCGAGAGTCCTTCAAGTACCGCTGCTCAATCTTCAAGTACTGTTGTTCAATCTTCAAGTACTGTTGTTCAATCTTCAAGTGTTGTTCAACCTTCAAGTGTTGCTGAATCGTCCAGTGCTGCCGAACCTGCTGCTGAACCGGCTGCTGAACCTGCTGTTGAACCTGCTGCTGAACCTGCTGCTGAACCTGCTGCTGAACCGCCAAGCGATGCTCAATCTTCAGGCGTTGTCGAAGAATCTTCAAGCGCTAGTACCGAGAACACTGTTTCTATTGAAGAAACAATATACGACGGTTCTGCTGGTTCTATGTTGGTAGCTCGTACTTTGATGTATTTGGCAGCAGCTGCTGCTTTTATCTAAGGCATCAAGCAGGATAAGTAGATATGTAATTCTTTGTAGCCTTTAAACTTCTTAATACCAGTCTTAATAAACTATTGTCTATTCTATTCAATAGAAGTTTCAATAAATTGAACAAAATTCACTCTTTCTGTCAAATGTTTCACAAAACTGAGAATTGAACAATTAGGCTGTGGATTTCGCAAGATGGACCTATGAACGTGGCGCCAATAAAATTTTAAGGTAACTATGAGTTTATCGAATTGTAATTATACTTAGCCAGGTTTCAGAATTGGAAGCGTTTCTTCATTAGGAATTAAAAAAGTATTTTTAGGTACTGTAGATAGTAGACAATTATCAACTCATACAAAAAAAGGAGACTATGTAGCAAATAGAATGAAGCGGAATTATAATTCCCTCCCAAGCTGACACAAAACTATAAAGTAATAACTCCGACAATGACATATGCATCTCCAACAACACAACATCATTATCACTCTTCTTATGATTTAACTTATTCAACAAATATGAACAAACAAAGAAAAGACACAATTGTTTCAAATATAGAAACGTTAAAATTGGCCATGTCTCGTATTTCACATGGCAAGAAAGAAAGAAAACAAACTTTGCCTATTTGATAACAATGGGGCTAGGAGGGGCATAATCTCACAAAGTGGAGATTAAAAGAATTCTCAATACAATGGTTACAATATTTTTTTTACAATTACTTGACGGGAAGAATCTCTTTTAAATAATAATTATCCGTACCTTAAAAATTAATTAATTACAAACAATAAATTTAATTATGGAAGGAAGAGGAGGAGGCAGAGGAGAAATCAGATTTTAATTTTAATTTAAATACAATAGAAAATGCCTCTCTCTTTATGTTTTCTCTTACAGACTTTCTTATTAAGATCTAGAAACCAAGCACTTCGATTGTAATGTCATTATCATCAGTTCTTATATCCAATTGGTATATTGTATTCACAGTAGTAATCATTTCCCATATAGTTGGGAAACGATTATATGCCAAACATTTAATGAAAAAGTTTGGTGCTCAACCTTGTACTAATATAGATTATGATGGTTATCTTGGTTTTAAACTTGGATTAAAAGCATTAAGAACTAAAAGAGAAGGAAGAGCAGTAGAATTCAATATTGCAAGATTTAAAGCAATGCCACATCCTGAAGTTCCTACTTTTACAACATATATATTTGGTTTCCCAGTCATTCAAACTAAAGATCCAGAGAATATTAAAGCAATATTGGCTACTCAATTTGAAGATTTTTCCCTTGGTTTAAGATTTAAGTTCTTTAAGCCAGTATTGGGATTAGGTATTTTCACAGTAGATGGTGAAGCTTGGAAACATTCTCGAGCAATGTTAAGACCACAATTTACTAGAGATCAAATTTCTAGAATTAAATCATTGGAACCACATTTTATTAATTTAAAGAAACATATTGATAAGAATAAAGGACAATTTTTTGATATTCAAGAATTATTCTTTAGATTTACTGTTGATTCAGCTACTGAATTCTTATTTGGAGAAAGTGTTTCCTCTCTTTGTGATGAAGCTATTGGATATAATAGTGAACAGTTTGATTTTGATTGTAGAAAAGAATTCCCAGAAGCTTTTAATAAATCACAAGTATATCTTGCTACTAGATCAATATTACAAAGACTTTATTGGTTAGTAGACAATAGTGAATTTAGAGAATGTACCCGTATTGTCCATAAGTTTGCTGACCACTATGTTCAAAAAGCTCTTGCTGCAACCAAAGAAGAATTAGAAAAAGAAAGTGATAAATATACATTTTTATATGAATTGGTTAAACAAACTAGAAATCCAACGGTTTTACGTGATGAATCTTTAAATATCTTAGTTGCCGGTAGAGATACAACTGCTGGTTTATTAGCATTTGCAATCTTTGAAATGGCAAGAAATCCAGATATGTGGGCTAAATTACGTGAAGAAATCTTAACCAATTTCCAAAATAATCTTGAAGATATCACTTTTGAAAATTTAAAGAAATGTGAATACTTAAAAGCTGTCCTTAATGAAACATTAAGAATGTATCCTAGTGTTCCAAGAAACGGACGTATTGCAACTAGAGATACTACATTACCAAGAGGTGGAGGTCCAGACGGTCAATCACCAATCTTGGTACGTAAAGGACAAGCAGTGGGTTATGTCATCAATGCAACCCATGTAGATGAAACTTATTATGGTAAAGATGCAGGTATTTATAGACCAGAAAGATGGTTTGAATCACAAGTTAGAAAATTGGGATGGGCATTCTTGCCATTTAATGGTGGACCTAGAATTTGTTTAGGTCAACAATTTGCATTGACTGAAGCTTCATATGTTATGACTATGTTGGCATTGAATTATGAACATTTACTGTTGGAACCAAGTAGTGAATATCCTCCAAAGAAATTGTTACATTTGACTATGTGTTTAGATGATGGTGTTAACATTAAGATGGAATAATTCAACTAGCAATTATTATTTATCTATGCTTTCTATTTATAATTTATATCGTTTGTATTTACGTTTTTAAAATGTTGAGATCCAATATGCATATACTGTACGAATATACCCATTGATACCAGAAGTAAATGGTGGCTACTGACCGAAGAGTCATCTGCTATAAGCTTTCGCCATAAATCTGGTCCTTGTAGAAGTTGTCGTGTCAAAGAGAACAACTGTGGGAAATGTGAGAGAAATGAGACATCCCCGGCGTCTGCTAACAAACACAACGATGCATCTTAACTCGTACTACTTAGTGGATGTTGTAAGTGAACATTTTTTGGTTGCAAGGGCCTTGCCTTGCGTTGCTAACAACTCATTAAAAAAATTACATTGTTTATCATTATTCCCAATTAGGAAACTGGAACCCAAAAAAAAAAAAATTTATCAGGGATAAACGAAGTACATTGGAAGGGGTTCAGAAAAGATAAAACTGATAGCAAATTAGCAATTGAGGTCACTTGAAAATCCCTTACTAACTAACAATTTCGATGCCTGTTTTTAGACCATACGGTGGAGAAGATCTTCGTCTAGTAAGTGATCTATCTCGATTTGATTATGAGCAAGGTCATCCTCAAAAGATTCGAAGTAGAAACGCAACCCCAACTGACCCTTCAAGTAAGATAACAGTGAATACTATAATTCCATTATATTCAACCAAGATTGAAGATGGCAATGAATACAATGCATTACCTGATAAGGATCTACCACCTGAACCACAACCAGGAATGCATCCTTACAAAATGATGAAAGTTCATTATACACCTCCTCCTACTATAGCGAATAAGCCATCAATACCTCAAATACAAGTACAGAAAGTAAGACAACCAAAGATGATATCTGTAGGTGTTCAAGTAACTCCCAAGACCCAAGATCCTACACCCAAATCGCCAACCCAAATTGTAACTGTTCCCAAGGATGGAATAATATCTAATGAATTACCAGCCATGTTACAACCAACTGATGTACTTGGAGGTTCAACAAGACTGAGTATCTCATCTCGCCAAAAACAATTGGAACATGATTTAATCAAGAATGTTATGAATCGACCATTACTTAAAATTAAAGCTGATAGATTTGGACCTGATTGGGAAGATAAATATATTGTTATCTCAACTAATTTCTTTTTATATTTATTAGAAGTTAGTTCCTCAATTATTGAAATTGTTATAGCTTCAATCTTATTGGATCAAGATTATTTTATATCGAAAAATATTTATCGATATTTCATTGCTGATGGGGTTTTGACATTGATTATTGCCTTGATGTTAATTTGTCGATTATTGGATTTTGAGAAGAGAAATGGAAGTTTTTATTGTTTAGCGGCAACAATTATGAAATTCGTATCATTTATCCTAATCATATCAACTGTTTTCCCACAAGCTTCATATCCAACTCGAGAAGATTGGCATCTTAGAAGAACAGTTGGGGCATTTATAATCATATCTACGTTCCTTTGGGTTATGAATTTGATAATGTTTTTGACTACCTTGTATATTTCAAGATTGAATCTATTGGAAGATTTGAACTTTGATTATAGTACTAAAGGGTTAAGTGATGAATTTAATAAACCTAAAAAGGACAGAAAGAAACTGGAACCAAAGGCTGAAGAACAATTACAAGAATTCTTTTTGAATGAAAATGGTGAAATGTATGCATTGACTGAAGATTGGGAAAAGGAACAATATAAAACGCATAATAAGATCTTAGTATATACCTTTTGAATAGAAACAATCCTTCTGTATAAAGACAATTAGAGTAATAAACCATAATTTAATGAATTGACTTTCCAGTCAGGCTAAATTTTTTTTTGCCTTCAAAATTTTGGGTGCAAAAAATTGCATTGAGTTTTTTTTAATTGTAAAAATTTCATTTGTGGTTTTTTATTGCAATATCATATTAAAATACTCAACAACAAAGGCTATCATAATAATTACCAATTCTATCACAACCATGAAGACTTTCACAGTAATGCTAGGATATATTATTGTTGCTACCTATTCCTTGATGCTTCCAGCTGATTGGTCCGGTATTGTCAAACCAACTCTCTTGGGTCTAAGAGACACCAAACTACGATTATCAAATTCATTACAATCCCTAATGACTACAAAAGGATTGGGATCTAGCTTTACACAATTATCACATTCTCCTTCAAATTATACTTCTGCTTCAATTAGTGAGTTTAATAAATCTAGTGTTGATTCTGATGATTTGATTTTTATTCCCAAAGAATTAATGAATCCACCTATGTTTGCAACATTAGGATTAAATAATTTGTTTCATGATATTCAATGGTTAAATTTATCTAATACCCAACAATTAATAATTCCCAAAATTACTGAATTTCAATCGATGTTTATATTTAATACTAGTGGAGAACCAATTTTACAATTTCCTAATAGTGCAAAACAAAGAATGAATCATTATTCAAGTGGTTCTTTACATAATTGGGGGAAAGTATTTAGTAAATCAGTTCCATTCACTTTACCTAATTTATTAGAATTAGTTGATTATTATATGATTATACCATCAAATCATTATTTCGATTCATTGAAATCAAATCATACTTCAGTTTATATTAAGAGTTTGATAACTATTCCTAGAGAGAAATTACCAATTTTCAGACCAAGCTTAACTGGTGACAAACCAATGGTAGTTTTCATGTTTAATCAAACTAGTACATCATTTGTCAGTGACGATAAATTGAAAAATACTCCAATTTTCACTATAAAGAATTATTTAGCCTATCCTCAAGATGTTTCCCATAAAGTATCAGCCAGTGTTTCCAATTTCTTTGACAAATTAGCCAAGCTGTGGCTCAAATCAATCAATTATGAAAGTTTAATCCATGCAGTATATTGTAATTTAAATGTAGCTGATAATCACAAAGAAGAAGATAGTTATTGTTTAAAGATTCAAGATGATGAACAAAGTGTCCATATTTTCCCAGCATTCTATGAACTTGCAGCACCTTCCATAAGTTCTTTCCTGCCCCAGCAAAGTTCTCAAAAATCGCAATTACTTCTGAACCAAGAAGTTGAACAACAACTGCTTCATCAGACATATTATGATCTTAGGGAACATGTTTCGAATAGTCATCATTTGTTGAAACAAAAGACAAAACAATTGGTATCAAAACGTGATAAATATAATGAAGGAAATAATAGTACTGCCACAGAGATTGAATTACAAGCATTAAGACAGATTCATGATAAGTTAAGTCATGGTGCTGGGAAATTTAATGAGTTTAGTTATGAATTTGTTCATGATCCAAAAGTAACTATTGAAAAAGTTGATGAAAAGGTTGATAATAAGGTAGATGCTACTGTGACTAGAATTATAAATAAAAAAGATCACGTGAAAATGAAAGCGGATGAGAAGAAGACGGTTTTTATTAAGGAAGTTGAAGATAAATTGGATACTTTGGATGATAAAACTGACCTAATTGCTGATGCGATCAAGAGAAAGAAGAATGAATTGAAGAAATATAGAATCCGTCCTAAAGTTTTTGAAAAGCTGGAAGCTATAACATATTATACTGATGATGATTGTGATGATGAAAAGGATGGTAAGTTTTCATTTATAGATGAACTTAATGCTGCAAAGGAAGATATTCCTGATGATATTCCTGATATGTCAATCTATGAGAATGATATAGAATATATAAACAAAAGAGATGATCTTTATGAAGAATATGAACAAATCACTCAAAATCCTGACGGAACAATTTTAGTACCTTTTTCAATGTGGAAATTAGCTGAAGCTGAATCAACTAGTCCTAGGAAAAAGACATATAGTCAAATTATCAATATGGATTTGGTTAAACCGTTTTCAAAGAGGGGGAGTATGATTCAAGCCATGGCTTCAGCAAATGATACCGATTGTCAACCAATCACTTGGTATAACATCTTCCATTATAGTATTTTTGGTGAGCCTAAGTTTTGTAATGACAGTTAGCTAGTTTCTTTCTTTTATATTAATATTTATAATTTTCTTTTAATTAAATAAATAAATTATATCACTTTATAAGAAGATGTTTCAGTAAAAATACAATACAAAATACATTTCTATACTAAAACTATCGAAATCCACCTAAAAGACAATAATAATAAAAAAAAACTATATAAAATTCACACGACTATCACTCCTACTATTAGAATAACTTGCAGGCCCACTGCTTTCACTACCTAAGAATGGATTCAGTGCATTTCGACTTTGTGGCCCCGAAGCCGGTCCACTATACCCACTAGGAGCATTATATCCTCTATGAGCGTTATATGGATTTCCACCAATTGTGGAATTAGGTTGAATAGGTTCCACTCTATCATAACTTGGTTCAGAATAAACACGGGATGCATTTTGAGTAGGACCAAACATAGACAATTCATCATCATATACGGAATCATTCTCAGATTTACCATTAAGACCTTGTTCCCCATTAGTTCCACCATGTTCATGTCCCTTCATTGCGGTTGCTCCTAATGCCATTAGTTCCAAATCTTCATTTGGATTAGCTTGTCCTTGATTGGCAGCATTTCCATCCTTACCGAATCTAGGTAAGAATGAAACTCTATCATCTTTCATTGGTTGATATCTTGCGTCAGGATTCTTGTAAAGTAAAGCCAAGACACATGTCACGATGGTGAAAATAAGTAAGAACAAGGCAAAGACGGCATTAAGTACGAAATAAACCACTGCCATAACCGATGAAACAACTTGTGGTTGACGGAAGATGTTGGAGAAAAACATAAAGAATAATGCATTGATAGTATTGATGACGGCAATTGTAATATTGAATATATTGGTTCTTTTATCCATAAACGGACGGAGCCAACAAACAAGAACAAGGAAGGCCAATTCAATGACAAACACAATAACTGATTGTGCCATCCCTTGACTTTGTAATAATGCAACAAATAATGATTTGAGGAAGATGTAGACTAAGGCAGCTAAGATGAAATAGTAACAATCAGCACGATATTGCACATAAAGGAATCCAAAACGGTTAAGGAATTTACCATCTCCATATAATAAGTAAGCTGGGTTTTTAAATTCACGTACAGATTCACGACCCTTAAGATAAACTCTCGCAGCGGCTTGTATCAATAATGCCAATGTGATAACCAATAAGAATACAGCAACAACGACAGTACCAACAGAGTCTCTAGATGTGAACTCCCAAAGACAAAATAAACAGATTTGTGGTAATGCCAACACGAATAAACGATACAAGGTACCTTTGATAATCGAAGCCCATTGTTGACGGTATTCATTGAATTTCCCTTCATTCATCAAATTGGATCTGATTAAAATTTCAATTACCGCTTTAAATAACATCAAACATACAATCATGACAAATGCAAAGAAGAACAAAAAGATAATAGCTGTCATGAACAAGTCAGTGATTTCAATACCAGCTAAATAAGATACTCTTTGAATACCTCTCAAGACAAGAATTTTTCCCGATAGTTGAGGATCTTTTTCATTTGTTGAATATAAATCTGGGTTAAGACTATCCGAAGTTGCACCTGCAGCTTCCAAGGTAATAGTCGCACGTTTAACAATATCTTTCAGGGGAATATTGGTAAATTTAATTAACAGACCCCAGAATTGTTGTGCGGCACGTTTAACGAATTTTTGAACTGATACAGAAATATAATTTGTGTCAAGAATATCAGTTGGGGTTCCACCTGTAGATTGAACATACCAATTAGCAATGTCTTGAACAAAACCAACTCTGACAATACCCATTGACCAAACGAAGTTTTGTGCCCAAGCAGCAGCAATTGGAGGGACTCTGGCAACGGCCATCATAGCAGTTATTACCAATGATTGGAAATAAATGAAAAGTGACATAGAATTGGATGCAATATGGGCTGCAGTACTAGAATGACCAATAACTGATACTACCCCAGAAGTAATAACCCCTAAACCTGCGATTGCTGCAATTGGCCATGCTGCATATTTAGTTGCGACGGTTTTTCCATTTGATAATCTTGCTTCGACACAAGCTAACAGTTCAAAAGTTTTTGCGTCATAGATAATGACTCTTACACTTGCATCTAAATCGGGGATAGTATAAGCTATCCCAGGAATTTGACTAGTAACTGATTCACCGATAGTATATTGGGAATTTAAATCTAAATGTCCACTAGTTAAGGGACATAATGGATTATTTTTAGATTGACCATCGTCATAACTGATATCACAAAGTGATATATTTCTTTGTAAGACATTTAATCCATAAGTAATTAAATTGACATTTGCTCCAACCTCGACATTATTTATACTTGAAAGAGCAGTAACATGGAAATAAAATGTATTATTATGAGGGAAAAATGTGATATCGAAATATGATGCTGAAAATTGGGAATTTTCCATACAAGTTAATAACGATGTTGATTCAATATAATTCTCTGCATGAGCATATTCCAATAAGGATAGTAACCACACGAATGGTATTAAGAATAACATGATGTATGTGATATGTGATAATATAAATATGAAATGAGGTTCTCTCTAGAT